TCATGCTGGAAAGACAAACCATGTGACTGGAGTATTGGGGCTTTGAGCCACATGACTTTGGTCCAACCTTCAGGAGTGGAGGGCAGCTGGAGACTGCGTTTAACCACATGGCCAGTGATTCAGTTAATGATGCCTACATAATGAAACCCCAGTGAAAACTCTGGATACTCAGGCTTAGTTCAGCTTCCGGGTTGGTGAACACATCAGTGTCGCACGAGAGTGGAGCATCCTGATTCCATCGAGGGAGGACGCAAAAGCTTCACAGTCAGGACCCTCCCAGGTCGTGCCCTGTGTATCTTTCCATTTGGCTGGCCCAGGCTCAGGGAGTTGTATCATTTATGATGAAACTTTAATCATACAGATAGCACATTCCTCAAGTCTGTTAGTCATTTTGAATAACTGAACTGAGGGAGCTGTGGGAACCCCTGAATGTGTAGCCAGTTGGTCAGAAGTGCAGGTGGCCTGGGACCCCTGAACTTACAGCTGTTGTCTGATAGGAGGGCAGTCTTGTTGGAGACTGAGCTTATAGCTAGTGAAGTCTGAACCAGGTCCGAGTAGTCAGTGTCAGAACTGGGCTGCTATACTGAACCTCACTAGGAGAAAGGGTGCAGACTTAGTGAGGGAGGGAGTGCCTCATCTAAATGAGATCTGGTAGAGAGGAGAGGAATATAGAGGACTACACAGTCCCAGGACATGGGCGGCAGAACCGGCTTTATTTAGAAACTGTCTCTCTAGGTTTGGGGGTAGGATAGCAATAAGGAGATTTCCAATAAAGGCAGACAGATTATTCACTTTAAGTTTGGTCTTACTTTCCTTTAACAGCTTTTGTGCTTCTGAGGGCTTGGATCTGTCCCTCAAAAATTCTCAACTACTATATATTTCCAGGTTTAAAAATATGTCTTTTTCTTTCATCCCCTAGAAAAGGCAGAGAGCAACTCTTGGGGATAATAATGACACCGTTTAAGCTGTGCTCTCTTGTAGTCAAAATTGTGTCAGCCATATTGACCCCTGATGGGATTTATGGTGGCTTAGATCTCTGTTGGAGAAATGAGTTTCAGGAGGAAAAAAGTATCGGGCTTGGAGCATATTATTTTAGTGAAATGGGGAGAAAATTCACTTGAGCCTCCCCCCACCCTCCGCCTCTTTTTTTAGCTGTAAAACCTAAAAAAAAAGATTGTCCATATTCTCTACCGCTGTCTGCACCCTGATCTCACTGGGCTCTCGTGCATCCTGGGTATTTCTATTCTTGACAGTAATATGAACTCCCATAATGTGTTGATCTTCTATGATGTCACTGGTCACCAGTCCAGCTCCTTATAGACCCTTCCCCTCTCCAACAGTTTCAAGTCAGAAATGCCTCCATTTTACAGATGAGGAAAGTGCAGCTTAGAGAGTTTAGTCACTTTGTAAATGGCTCTTGCTTAGAATGCCACTCGATTGGAGTCCAGGTCTACCCAATTCCACCTCTTCAGGGTGAAACAGGTGCTGACCCTGGAGCTGGGGAAAGAGAATGTTCGAGACTCTGTTCTTATCCTTCTAAGGCAGTGGTTCTCAACCTTCTGGCCCTTTACATACAGTTCCTCATGTTGTGACCCAACCATAAAATTATTTTTGTTGCTACTTCATAACTGTAATGTTGCTACTGTTATGAATCATAATGTAAATATCTGTTATGCAGGATGGTCTTAGGCGACCCCTGTGAAAGGGTTGTTCAACCGCCAAAGGGGTCGTGACCCACAGGTTGAGAACTGCTGTTCTAAGGCGCTTGCAGTCAAATCAGAGAGACCGACTGCTATTTTCTGATGAAGGTACCAGTTTGGGACAAGAATGGTGGAATAAAGACTTTTGTTAAAATCATGTTAAGGCTAAAAAGATCATCAAGAAGGATCCCTAGCAGCAGCTTAGTTTGGAAACAGCTTGGCTCTCTACTTGAGCTTTCTAATGACCATTGCATATACAGTTGGCATTTGAATAACACGGGTTTTAACTGCATGGGTCTACTTATGCATGGAATTTTTTCAATAAACACCTATACTGTTTTCCATCCATCATGATAAGGACTCTGCGGATGCAGAGGGCTGACTGTACACATTAATCTACCCTTTTTATAGGGGACTGGACACCCAGGGATTTTGGTATCTGCAGGGGTCCTGGAACCAATTCCCCATGGCCACCAGGGATGCCAAGGGACACTATAAGTTTTGGGGACCCTGAAAAATGGGTCCACTTACATTCCAGTGTTTTCCATTGAGCTGCACAGTTCAGATCTGCCTTGTTCAAGGGTCATAGGTGGTTGAGAACCTGCAAAGGGCCAACTTAAGTTACAAGAGGATTTACAGTTGGTGTTGTTCAAGGGTCACCTGTATTTAAATTTGAACCTTATTGTCTTTCCTTTGCAACCATGCCAAATCCCATTCCTAACACTCCATGTAGATGGAAGCTGATGCTGGTTTTAAAATTTCCAGGTCAGGAGACAGAAAGTAACATTATTGACATTTACTACACTTAGAGAACTTCATACCCTTTAAAAATATTTTTAATCCTTTTAGAGATCAAGATGCAGAGGCTCTGTGTTTGGCTTCCCTAAGATTTTACAGCTTTAAGAATGAATCCATGATTCAACCTGACTCTAAGGAAATGCTAGTCAGCATCTCAGGGTTCTTTTTTATACTGCATGGGTAGTAATCCTATAATGTCAATGGCACTTTTAACTTTTGCAAGCCTTTGCCACTGCTCTGTTCTTAGTAAATCTAAAAACCCCGGCTTTATGAGGCGGCGGGGACCCATGACTCCATTTGATTGAGGAAACTGAAGTGGACATGTAGTGTTTAGTGACTTGGGCGAGACCACTAAACTCTTAAGGGAAGAGACAGAAGGAGAACACAGCTCTTTCTACCCCACCAACTTTTAAGTAGACTTCCTCTTTCAATTAAAGATAGAAAGATAGATAGATAGAGAAAGAGAGACGGCCTGAAATCCTACAGGAGCCAGTCACTGCACTCTGCATTTTAATTTACTCATTACAACAACCATTCAAGTCAAGGGTGATCTTGTTTTGCAGATGAGAACTGGGCCCAGAGAGGTTACAAATGGCCCCAAGTCACAGAGTAAGTGCAGGTCGACACTTTTATTCCAGCCCACTGGCTCACATGTCTAACTTTGTCTACAGGATCTTCCAGTTGAACATGTTAAAAAACATGTTCAAGTCTAAAATCTAAAAAACAAATCCATTAGTCCAGTTCACTCCTCTCACCACCATCCCCCCTCTCACCTGCCCTCTTCCAGGTAAGCACCCTGACAGGTGAATCTACTTGGTCAGTCTGTCCCTTCCCTGAGTTCACTACCATCGTGTCTCTCCTTCAGCTCCCGTGTGCAATGGATCTTGCTAATGACCACCTCATTGCTATCTGACCGCTCACTCAGTGTTTGTTTCCTTAACTTCTTTGCAGGCTTTACACTAGTCCCTTTTCTGAAAACGCAGTCCTCTCTAGGTTTCCGGGTCACCAATCTCCTTGTTATCGCCTAGCTCTCTGACTTTGGCCTCTCACTCTCTTCGTATGTTCTCTTATTTAACCTTTAAGAGTCTGTGTCCTCAATCTTCTGCTAGGATTGGTTTATCCAACCAATAGTTATTGCATGTTTATTATGCTAGGCCCTGTGCTAGGCGCTGATGATCAGAGACAAGCGAGCGGCCGCCAAGTGGTCTGCAGTGTGAGAAGCTGGCCTGCTCTGGTCCCTCCATGCTGACCGCCCAGCCCATTCACTGCCTGCTCCCCTGCCTGCACAACTGCAGCTCTTCCCAGAACTCAGTGAGCTTTCTCTTGCCTCTGGGCTTTTCAGGGGTAGTTTCCTCAGCTAGGAATGTCCTCTGCATCTCTGTTTGCTCAGCTCTTTTTCATCGTTCAGGATGTGGCTCACGCATCATTTCTTCTGAGAGTCTTTTCTGACTCATTAGGTGTGCCAGGAGCCTGCCTCTGTACTCACGTTCATCCCAGAACCTACATACAACTTAACTGAACTTGTCTCACAGTCTGTCCACTCCAAGATGGCAAGAGTCAGGTCTTTGGCTCCTTTGTATGCCCAGCACCTAACACAGTCTTTGATAGGTAGCTCTTCCCAGGACGAATGAATCAAGCTGGCCATGACTGCTTCCTGCCCCTTTCCAGCCTGGACTCCTGTCCCTCCTCTGTCTGCACTATTCATTGTTGTCCGCCGTGGTTGCACATTAGGTTAGCACCTAGCACAAAATTTTGCACACAGTGGGTATTCAGTAAAGATTTCTAGAATAACAGCGTGGATGCCTAACAGCCTAGGTTTTGCAAATTCAAACTCAAGCCAAGTGTTTCCTGTCTCTGAGCACCCACACCCAGAAAGCTAATTCTAGGAAATGTTGCTTTGGCAAGATATGGCTCCTGAAATGTGTTACTGTGTTTAGTCCCCATTTTCAAAGCCCACGTTGGTTGTTGATTTGTGTAACTAAGTGACACATAATTTTTGTTTTAACTTCCAGAAAAACAGTAGTCAAGGAGGTGGGGTTCAGGTAAGACAGGAGTACGTGGAGATTACTGGCTTTCATTATATGAGAATTCACGCAATTTGCCATGGTTTCTGGTAAATGCTGGCAAAAGTTTGTTTGGCCCCAGGTCCTGTAAAAACACTAAGCTGCTTCCTTTCTGATGTTTCTGCAAGACGCAGCCAAGTCTGGCAGGACTGGAGTAGGGCAGGGACAAGGTGGGTGCAGGGGATGGGTGACGCCACCCAGCTGTCCTCAACTCCTGTCCTCAGGTCATATCTGGACTTACTAAGTCTTTGAAAGCAAAGACGCATGGATGTCTCTTGCACTGTGGCTCAAAACTCTGAGGACAGACACTTGCACACACTCCCCCCCCCCTGTGTCCCCAAATGCATAGGACAGAGCTCAAATATCAGGGGGCTTAATCACAGTCACCGACTAACTGCAACACCCGTATCATGACCATAAACTTATTTAATCTTCACAGGAACACTCGAGAGAGGTGCTTCACCCCATTTTATAGACAACAAACTGGGTACCAGAGAAGCTCAGTGACAGTGGCCAGCTCCTAAGTGGCCGGGCTGTGCCGTCATCCTGACTTTCCAGCGGGGATCATTGCACTGTCGTGAAGGTGACCTGAGCTGAGGAAGACAGCGGACACAGACTGGCAGGACCCGTGAGGTATGAGACGAAGCACTGGAGCAGAGGTGCGGAGGGTTGAGTCTCCAGGGAAAGAAGAGGGGACACACTGGAGCTGATTCTATTGGACAAAGAGGTGAGTGTCAGCCTGCGGGTGCCATGGCGGCCTCACTCCATTCCAGGAAACCTGCCAGAGAAGTCTTTAGGCTTCTTCCCTCTATTTGGAGTTTGGGGACAACTCGGTATGAACAGGCCCATGAAACCTACCTGAGCTGGTCACTATAACCCCATAAAAGGTTAAGAAACAGGTGATGGATGGGAGGAGAGGAATTGAGCGACCTCTCGGAGTAGCCGGCTTGCTTACCTCTGGCTTTTTATCTATTGGTGCCGAGCCTTCCATTTGTCAGGCGGTAACGGCAGCAGCTTTTATGAGTAAGCAGTTTTTTTAATGAACTTGTTCCAAATGTGTGCTCCCTTCTTGGAACTCTCTGTGCTCTGAAGCAGCTTTATCATCATGGTCTCCGGTGGAGCAGCCAGGCTCTCTCTGGCCTCGACGTAAGCAATGTCACTTGCTCTGCCTCTTCCACCTCTGACTTCGACTAAGGAAGATGAAGGGGTAGAGAAACATAATAACAGTAGCCTTTTTATGCGCTTATTATATGCTGGGCATTGTTCTAGATGTTGTGCATTCATCTTTTTATTGTGTCCTAACACTTACTTGGGTCTAAGGTATTTCTATAGCCCCCTTTTACAGAGGAGGACACTGTGGCTCAGAGACATTGAGCAAAGTGTCTCACGTTTGGTAGTAAGTGGTAGAGACAAGATCTGAGTGGCACAGGGCTGTCTGCCCACGGAGCCTGCGCTCCCGACCCTGCTGCTGTGTGGAGTGGACCGGCAGGGCTGCTTACACCAGCCTATGCCAAGGAGGAGCTGGAGGGTGGGAGGGTTATCTCAGGACATTCGTTACTGCTGTGCAGTCACGTGCCATGCCGGCCCATGCAAGAGCTGTTGTAATTCAGTGCCGATGGCTCCGTAATTATGGACAATTTTCTGGTCTTTTGCTTTCATAGAGGGAAATAGAGGAGTTTAGAGAGCTCCCTAAAACTTGTTGCTGTGCATAATAATGCTACCTTCCGTCTTGGCGAATGGCTGCAGCATGTATCCCAGAGCTCAAAGAATTATCATATTGTAAATTGGCTTCTTTATGGAGACAGGATCTGTTGTCATCTTATTCCAAACCCTGCCCCTGCCCAACTGGACCGAGGCTGTTGTGAGTCCCCTTCCTCGCCACCTTGTAGGCTGCTCCCAGTGGACAAGGATGAAGAGCTTCTCCATCCCATCTACCGGCTGCTGAGCAGTGCGGGCCCTGCAAGTCCAGCTGTGGGGTCAGCGGCGGCTCAGATCTGCTCTACCACCTTCTTGCTCTGTGACTTTCCACCAGTCTCCCTGAGCTTCTGTTTCCTCATCAGTAAAATGGGAATAATGATAAGAAGAATGTCTATCTCAGAGGGCTGTTGTGAGGGTTAAAAGAAATGATGCATGCAAAATGATTGGCTCACTAGAGGTTAGCACTGTTACTCCCTTAGCTCCTATCTAAACCTTGCAGTGAAGTATTGGGAGCCACTATTAAACCATTGCTAGTAATTTCCTTATGTCAACAAATGTACACAGAGTGCCAGGAGCCATGCTCTCTCTAGGACCCTGTTTCTTTTTTTAAAATATATTTTACTGATTTTTTACAGAGAAGAGGGAGAGGCATAGAGAGTTAGAAACATCGATGAGAGAGAAACATCGATCAGCTGCCTCCTGCACACTCCCTATGTGCCTGCAACCAAGATACATGCTCTTGACCAGAATCGAACCTGGGACCCTTCAGTCCGGAGGCCGACGCTCTATCCACTGAGCCAAACTGGTCAGGGCTAGGACCCTGTTTCTTAATGCCTTTTTATTTCCAACATCTCTTTTTGGGGTGAAAAGCACAATGAACAGTTTGTTATGGAGAGAGCCCCTCATCTCCCATTCCTCCCATCTTCCTCCTTGTTGCACAGGCTCCCCTCTCTCGCACCTGGTACCCTCCCACTGACCCTGGGCTCCCCAGAGCTCCACCCTGGAACACTCAGGCACCTGGGCCCTTACCTTTTGATTAAGACACAGCCAGGCCCTTTACAGAGAGGGATACATTTGCTTGGTTTGACCCAGAAGTGGATTTGTTTCCCTCCAATTAGTTGGAAAATCGAACTTGATCTATGAAGAAGGCAGATTTATGGCCTGAGCCGATACACGACTGCCCTGGCTTTGTTGTAATAAAAGATGAAATTGCTCCAGTGGGGGCTTGGGTGGGCTTCAGGCTGGGCTTCTAATGACTGTTCCCGCCAATATTCAGGGCCCGCGTGAGGCCGGCCGGGATGATCAAATAGCCCTTCATAGTAGATAAAAAGTAATTTGGGAGCCGGAGAGGGAGGTGGTTGGAGTGTTTCACTTTGTCTTTGCTTTCCTGAGACTTGATGATGCTCCTGAGGTGTGGAAAATAGAGCTGTTCTGGCTAATTTTTCAACAAAGGTCCATGGAGACTACGTACCCTTAGGGCAGATGGCTGCCATCATGGCCTCCACTCTGGATTAGGCTGTTTCTCTCCACTTCGCTTCTGAGCTCTCCTTTCTCTGCGTCTCTTCAGCTGTTGATCTGTTTTTGTTCTGTTTGCTGCCTCATCCTTTCTGCTCCGGCCTTTTGCTCCTTGCCTCTTGCTATCTATTTATACATCTTCCTGTTTCCCTCCCTCTCTCTCTCTTTCTCTGCCCTCCTCATCCTCTTTGCCGGTGCATCTCATTCTCTGCTTTATTTGCCTCCCTTCCTCCACTGGTCTTATTTTTGGTACTCCTCTTTACCTCTCATTCTGGTTCATAATATCTTGAAAGAGGGTTTGATAATGCTTGCCTGACCCTGCCTGACACTGGTGAGTGATTCTGCCCAGCAGCTTTTGATGTGGTCTGTGTGTGAGTGATGAAAGCTGCTCCATTTGCTCTTCAAAGCTCTGCGTATGGGGTGCGTGGGTGCATCTTCTCAGGATTTCACTCTTTCTCGCTCCAGAAACCAGTCCATAGTAGAGGACAAAGCCATGCCACTTCCCATTTGTTCTTCATCCTCACAGATACCTTAACGCTTACAGGAGGAGGACGACATTGTACAAATCCACTTAAATAATAAAAAAAAAATCCACATTAAAAAAAATGCTCTTATTCCTAGAGTCCTTATGTCAGGGATTTTTAATTTGAATATAACCATTCTCAGCCTAAATGTGGACACTTTGATTTGGACACTGGGTAATAAAACAGAACAAAAATGCTGTTGATGTTAATAGCAGAATCTAAGCACCTTGGTACTTGGCTACTTAGGATCTGATCAGTGAAAAACCAGAGGAGCTAAAATGGAAAGAACAGTGGACCAAGTCCTTTCCAGTACTAATCACCCTGGATCCCAAAAGCATATGAAAAGATGAGGCGCATATTTCACCTGGATCAGGTTTCTGCTATTTCTATTTTTCAACCTAAGATTAGAAATCAGGCACCTGTGCTTATGCATCCAGTGCTTGAGGAAAGGGGATGGACAAAATAGTCTGTAAAACTTTTTTCTAGCTCATAGACTCCCCCGTTTTGAGAATCTAATATGTCAGGTATGATAAATATAGTGCATAGAATAGATTACTGAGTTTTGTGCTAGAATACCTGAATTTAAATGCAGATTTGGAATTATGTGTTGAATGATCTTCAGTGCATTAAAATTTTTTAACAGCTTTACTAAGGGGTAATTTACATACCATAAAATCCAGCCATTGTTGGTGTGTAGTTCAATGAGTTTTAGTAAATTTATAGAGTTGGGCAACCATTGTCACAATGCAATTTTATAACATTTAAAATAAATCTCTCAACCTCTCTTCATTTTCTTTCTTCACCTTAAAATTGGACTTATGGGGTGGACTGATTACAAAAGTGACCACAGTCTTCAACACAGTGCAACGTGGCTTTGTTGCTTCTTCCATAGAAGAGGTGGAACCGATTTCTCCAGCTCTTGAATCTGGGGCTGGCCTTGTGACTCGCTCTGACAAATGAAGTGTGGTCCAAGTGATGGTGTACCAGTTCTAGGCCTAGACCTGAAAAGGTCTTGCTGGCTTCTGCTTGCTCTTGTGGAAACCTGCTATCTCTGCCATGAGTACAAGGTTGGGCTGGCCTGCAAACAATGAAAAATTGTATGGCGAGGCCCCAATCATTAATGCCACCTTAAAGGGTGATTGAAGTTTAGGCCAGCTTAGATCACCTTCCCCAAATGCCTTCCAGTCAAATATAGATATGTGAACACACTCCACTGAGATCAGCCAAGCCTAGCCTGGATCAGCAGAATTGATGAGCCAACCTGTAGACCGACAAGAAATAATGGAAGGTGATAATACTAAGCTTCAGTGTGGTTTGCAAATCATCATTACTGTGGCAATAACTAACTGATATAGTGTGGTCATGAGAATCAATTTTTTTAAAGCTATGAAAACATCTAGTACTCTGCCTATTACATAGTAGACTCTCACTATATTTAAAAAATATTCAACTTAAACATTTATAGAAATCCTCATATCTGTGAAGCACTATGAGGTTGTGAGGGGGGCTCAGAACTTGAAAAAGACATGATGGAAATCCTTCGGGAGTTAGTTCCAGAGGGGAACTAACATGAGCAGTTATAATATAGAACAGCCTGTCCCTCTATTATAATATTTATGTCTAAGTGGCTCCTACATTGTCTGCAAATAGCCATATTCTTCTTTCCTTGGTATTTCACTTTGCTTGAAAATGTGTTCAAGTGATATGGTTTATTGAAAAAACAACAACACCTGCACAGCACAATGACCAAAATTACATTTTATTCGTATGTCCAAGTACCATGTTCGCATTCATAGGAGACAGCCTATATAGAAGCTTGGCAGTGTGAAATGCCTCATGTAGCCAGGGAAACAGAAAAGCAGATAGGAATCAGAGCCAGGGCTGGGAAGTGAATGAAAAGTGGAGAGAGAAGTGGGTGGGAAGGTCTTAATTTCTAAAATGACCAGAAGAATGCCTAAGGAGCAGAGCACTGCCTACCGGATTTGTTTTG